TCTTCATTTGGAGCATATGCATGCAGAGCATCAAGAGTTCACAGAAAACCATGTGAAATACTTGGCATTATTTGGCAAACAGTGACATATAAATTTAAAATATCATCGTCATCCAAAACAGCCTATAGCTTTCAGTGATAATCACTTGATACGTACTGGGCATTTCTAAGGTATCTGAAAATGAGTACTGCAAGAAGTCGGATATTTTCTTTTTAAATATGATTGTCATATTGTACACTTGATACTTACACTGAGAGCTCAGATCTTCCCTTTCCCTAGTATAATTTTCATCTAAGCATTCCTTAGATACTTAGATCATTCTTAATGGAGTTGTGCCTTATACCCTCTGTGGACACATGGAAATCTGGTTAATTGTACTGACTTGATTACAATAGCTGGTGAATTCTCCCATTTCCTTCCACTGAAATAAATGCTTAAGATATTTTTGTTACCTATTATGAAAATATTTTAGAGTGCAATCATTTTCTAAAAGTAGTTATAGGGAGAAACTCTTTAATCATTCTGCCCACCAAGTTAAATTCTTATACTTTCAAAATATGTTCCTTTTCGTGTTACTATAAAAACTAGGTGTCCTAGTTTTAAAGTTTGAAACTAACCTGTAGTATGAGTAGCTATCATTCAAATCCTACAGAAATTGCAACTGAACATTAGCGTTGCAGTAAAGCAGTCTCTTTCAGGCTCAGTAAGACCATCAGAATGGCATAGCTTTTAACAAAGGGTGCATGTGGTGATGGAATATCTATTCCCCAAATCCAAATATCTGAAAATTAGAAAACACACTTTTGAAAACATCTTGTTTTCTGTTATATGTTGTATCCCAGAAATACTTTTTAAATTATTTCCTTTCTTGGCCAAAATAAAGGTTTTTGCCACTGATAATTAAGTTAATGCAGTCTTTTTAAGTGCTAAGATGACGATGAGTAACTACCTAATATGGTTATTGTCCCCTTATATACCTGTTAAATTTCTTTAAATTCTAGTGAATCAGCTTGCCGAAAATACACTCCACGCTCCCATTTGAAAGTAGAAAACTAAGTGCTGAGTGGGAAAAAGTTTACCCTCAGCGTAAATCAGCACGAAGAGGAAGCAGGAAAAGCACTCCAGCTACTTGCTGCAAACACAAATATGCGCCCGACCTCTACTGCGCATGATCCATTCTTATGATGAATGTTCTTACCCCTAACACGAAAA